AGATGTAGCCAAAACAGTGTTGGGCAATTGTAGTTTTCCAAATACATTAAAGACACAGGTGGGTTTTGATGCTATGACTCATCTCGTTATGGCTGTGTATCTCCTGGGACACAAGCTTTGCCTCAGAAGAAGACATTTCAGGAGACCAGACCATAGGCACATCTACCTAAGCTAACACACCCTGCCCCGAAAGCTGTTTAAGGATCCACACAGCTTTCTTGCTTGCCTCCTTCTGTTTACTAACCTCACTCAGAAGAGTTGTCAGTCCGGGTGTTCTCTACTTCTGCTCCTCTAGCCAGGTCTGCCTATAATGGAGCACCAATGGCACCTCTGTCTACCAAAGTCCCCACAGACGGAGTGCCCGCATGTAATACACACGAGGGCTACCAATCACTCTGTCTCTCCTTGTGTGTCCTAAACTTATCACCAAATTCTCACTTTTAATAAACAATCCATAGATCTTCTCTTCTACAATTCATAGACTTATAGCCAATTCTAAACAAGAATACAACATCTAAAATTCACACATTACCAATATATCTTACTCAAATTGAAATCATTTAATATTTTATCAGTCTTTATCAATAAAAATATCTAAGGGACTTAGTAAATTTGTGTTTATAAACCATTATAGGCACAATGCCAGAAGGCATAAATGTCTAACAGAAGATACAGTAAGATTTCAATCATACACTAGTATGGTGTCCTACTCTTTGCAGTTTTTTCATTAACTCCCATTACAATAATTACAATAAGAACTCAGATATGAATCAAAGAAGGAAGAGAGGGAAGTGTTAGATTTGAGCTGTGTCTTGGCTGAACTGAGTGGAGAGAGCAAGTATGATGAACACTAAACATCCTTTGAAACCTCTAACCAGCTCCACTGAAGTTATTCATTGCAATATTCATTTCAAGGTTATCAAATGATGAGAGCTTATGAATGCAGAAATTACAGAACACAATCCTGAAAGCATTTAGAAATAAGTTGCCTGCTTTGATTCCTTTATTAGCCCTAGGAACTATAACTTAAAATCCTCCGTAGTCCTTTGTAGCATGACACTCAACGACTCAGTATACCCATGCTCCATTTCCTGTCCTAATTCAGTCTCCTATTTTATCTCCACTCTGCTTTACTTCTCTGCCTGAAACACCCTTTCTGCCTTCCCTTAAATGGCTCCTTCTCATCCCTGCCCTGCCCCAGGAGCTTGCCGAAAACCCACAGGCTGACTAAATGCTTCAAACAGGAGGACTCTCGACATACTCCTTCACCTGGAAATTTAATGTGAGATTGCAATCATATTTTGTGTCTAAAGGACACTTGAGCTAAGCAACTCAGCAGGATGCCCCGGTAAGAATTTAAAAATGTTTGAATAAAAGTCGATAAAAAATAAAACACAGCAAAATGTTCGTTTAGGTACATCTAAAGGGATTAGCTGAACTGAGATTCATCCTGAAACTGCAGCATGGAAGCTTTCGACACAGTCTCTGCTTATTTCAGCAGTTGGCTAACTCAGAAACACTTAAAACTGTTCTTACAGAAATTCAGTTCAAAACAAGGTAGTCACATGGCCCAGCAATGTGAATGAAATTATTTTTATCGTCTATTGTAATGCAAGATTGAAAAACCATTTAGTCTGTACTTAGTAACTGTTTGCATGACAATAGACAACCACTTGTTTTCATGTCAGAATCTATGTTAGCTAAGAACACCCGGAAAGCCACACACTTGTCCTATCCAAAGACTGACAAATCTACATCTTCATGAACCAAATGTGAATAAAAATGGCGGGGAAGCAACTGCTCTCTTCTACGTGGGGCGCTAATGAGACCAAGTTGTGTCTATGAAAAGATAAACTGAAGATTTACTTTTTTCGCATCCATTAAAAAAAGAACTTTCTGCCATGTTGAGGAGGAATCTGTTTTAGTGGCCGGGGACCAGAAGACAGCACCAGCGTTAACAGGTGATGACCTCCACGTGGTATGGATTGTACCCACAGTGTCGTACTGTTATGTCTGTTTTTAAATACTCAACAGCAAGCACAATTCAATAATTTAATCCCCTGAAAATCACAGCAGGAAGCCAACTGATTCTAGTCCAAGCACTGGGGTATAGTTTACACCAGGGTTACAGTTCCAGGCAAGGAACGCTAGCCTGACCCTGGGCCGAGACAGTAAGGCTTGCCACCACCTTTTCCACCTTCAGAAAAGAATAAATCCTGTAATTGTGAAGTCGGATGAGAAGATGTTGACAAACGGAAATAATGGTGGGCCAACAATCACACAGAGCTCGTCACTCATCAGATGGAAAATTGGGTTTCTGTTGTAAAATAAATTACCATAACATTTACTAACAGTGCACCAAAGTACTGTTTGTTCAGTAACTATTACAATGTAAAATGAATCTAGTCCTTAAAGGATTAAAAAGACTTGCCACTTCAGCATTAAAATTTCTCAGTGCTTAAGTACGTCCTCTTTTGGACTAGTTGGAAAGAGCAAGGGGATGGATCAATCAAGACACACTATGTATAAATATCTGAGGACTCATTTACGTGTACAGAATAACTAAGTATGAATTAAATGCTTGAGAAAAAGATAAATGGTAATTTAATGAAGTATGCACTCAAAATTGCAACTTTTATCACAACAAAATCATATAAAAATATACACTTGTAACTTAACTGAAAAGAGTATTTCTGTGCTTTGAACCCAGTACCAAAACACCAAAACACAACAAAAACAAAAAACCCACCAATCTTTTTCTAGTAGTCTGGTACAAAAAATATAAACTATGTATGGTTGCATATATAGCTCTTTACGTAGAGTGCCAACTTTACATGCATGAAGCAACAGGTTCAATCCCCAACACTGCCATATAAATGAACAATCAAAACTGAGCTGGTATGGTGTGTAAGCCTTGAGTCTCAGCACTTGGGAGGCAAAGCCCAGTTCTTCTGAGTGATACTGTCTCAAAAAGCAAAAATCCTTCACAGCTGGTTGGTAAGGCTTGGGGTACGGCTCAGCAACAGAGCCAATGACAAGACTCAGGAAGCAGGAACTTTAGACACAAGAAATACACGTTATAATGTATTATATTTTAGGAAATACATTTATCCTTAGATAAAGCCAAAAAATTTGTAATTGATTTCCTTGACCTGTAAGTTTTAAGTTGAGTCTCTCAAATTAACACTGTGATATTTTGACACAGAAATTCTCCTTTATAATTATCAAACTGCTACAAAACAAAGCGGTGAAACACGTTTATATGTTCACTTAATACCAGTAAGTTGTTCATTGTTAGTGCAAACTTTTTTTTTTCCTTCGAGACAAGGTTTTCTCTGTGTAGCCCTGGCTATCCTGGAACTAGTTCTGTAGACCAGGCTGGCCTCGAACTCACAGAGATAGGCCTGCTTCTGCCTCCTGAGTGCTGGGATTAAAAGCATTCCCCACCACTGCCTGGCTGCCAGTACAAACTTAAAAATGAAATTAATTAAAAATATCTGCCATTAAATGCCTGCATTTTTTACAGATGTTATTCACACTGATTAATGAAGTCTCTACTAAAATGCCACTTCCACATTAACCAAATTGTAATTTCCCTTTTTCTTAATTTTTTATTACATGCAACTGGAGAGGTCAGTGAGAGTAGGTTCTCTGTTTCTACCATGTAGGTCCTGGAAAATCAGGATTTCGGTGGGTGGCAAGCACCTCCCCGACCTAGAACTGTAATATATTACTTAAAAACCCAAGAGAAACTGTCACCATTCTATCCACACACACACACACAAAAAGATTTTCAAATTATTACAGAAATGTTATATTTCTAATTTAAACACACTGTCATGTAAGTAAATGCACTTTAATAATAAACCTTCATTTTAGAAAAGTATCTAAAATGTATGTGGTACCTCAAAAAATGAACAATTCCTAGAACTATTAAAACTATCCAAAAAAAACCCTAAATTAATATCAGAAAAGGATTGGGAAAGAAGACAGGTCTAAAACTTGGTCACTTGCCTTTTGAAATATACACAGTTTTAAGGCAACGTGATTCAATTTTTTATGAAATTGTTGAAGACCATGTCTGGGCATCTCCCCCGTCATGACTGTATGTACAACGCAGTGCCAACTGAGAAAGTGAGTTTATATCTCTCTGTAATAAAACTGTGCTCCTTAGTTCAAAATTCCACGTTTCGTACGCCTCCGCTTGCTGAGTTATCGCGGCACACAGTCTCTCTTCCTAGACCTGCAAACTAAAAAAAGTCCACCCCGTATCAAACCTGCCAGCGAGGTTTACCTCTGGACCGCGGAGGTAAACATGACGTCAGCCCAGCACTCCACGGTGGCGAATGTCATCCCCAGACCTAAGGTTTGATTGAGTAGGATTGAAAATCACTAGGCTTTCGGGACGTCTCTCTCTTAATTCCAACTTGCAAAGCTGAAGCCAGAGCGCCTCCAGTCCCAACCCAAGCCGCACAGACCCTAGCCACCGGCCGGCGGGCCGGGGAAGTTTCTTACGACTTCGCTCCACTCCTCTCTCTCCCGAGAGGGGAGCCAGCCGAAGCGCTTTTTCCCACGCTAAGGCCGGGCCGGGATAGAGGTCCCAACCGCGGCCGCGATGTGGCTCTCTTGAGTTCTTGAGGATGGGTCCCCAGCACAGAGGGCTCCCCACGCCGGGACTGACAGCGGCCCACGCGATGGCCCGCAAAGTTTCCCGGGGACGGCGGGCTGGGCGCGTCCGCTCGCCGGGACGGTGCACAGGCGTCCGCGTCCACGG